CCCCCGCTAGATCGAACTACTGTAAATTTGAATTACAATGCGTTGTCGGTGATAATAAGAGAATCTGTGAATTTGAAGTGTAATATTTTCTTCTTCGCCGACGGGACGATGTTTGACGCACTACATTAAGTATTCCCACAGTCTTATAAGCGCTAACATTCAATTTTAATAATAAAAAAAAAATTAAAAAAAAAAAAAATAAATTGACGAGGTGTTACGGTGAACGCTCTCCAACGTCTTAACGTTGGACCCGTCGTCTTTTTTCAACTCTGTAAGAAGAAAGCTCTGTGAAAATTTCCAGAAATTATATTCATTTGTTCCCTTCCAAAAACATACAATAAGAGCGGAGCTTCTTAAACACCGCAAACGAGATATAGGTGGTCTGGTAGTTTCACCATCGATATGCCCTAACGCCAGAGGAGCATATTTGGGTGACTGGCGCTTTGTCCTGAATTATCTACCCTTTATAACACAGGAGAAATATTCAGGCTCAAAATTATTAAAAATGTCTAATTTACAGCCAGTTGAGCTTGTAACTTGTTTTTTCCTCAATGTTTATTTACTTTTTTGGTCATTTGAATGTCCTTCTTATCAATAGACCATTATAATCAAATTATCAGCTATCCTTGATCTTGTTATCGGTGGTCTTTATCCTACCCATCTATGATCTGATAGAGTGTCATCATTGGACTTAACGCTCGGACCCAAGTCTCGCTTCTACAAGATTGTTGAGTCAGTTTTTACGGTTGGATCATTTCTCAGTGGACGTATTGTGATTCCCTTAGTCCGAGCGAAAATCCTTGTAATTCAGTTACGGAGAAGAATTATCGAGGCTTTTTGAAGGAAATCATTAGTCTATAAAGCATTCGTGTTTACGATTCCGCGCAGGGTAAGCTTAATTTATTTAAAGCACCTTTTCCTTTTGTCATGGGAACGGAGTTCCCCATGATATTACAATCGTTCCGTTGCTTTCGCTATGGAATTCCCTATACCTCTGCGACCTTGAGCGTTTCGCCCAGTCTCCGATTTTTGGTTGATTTTCCGATGTATCAAAAACCGTTGTATTTTTTAGCCAATCATGTCTCTACGTCAAGTTGTGTTGATTGCTAAAATTCGCTTTCAGCGAGTTTTTTTCCACCTTAACATGTCGTGTCTGACTGGTAAATCTGCGCAGAACCACGAAGTTCCGTTTTTAGGCAAATTCTTTTTTTTGGGAGGTTCTGATTGGTTATTTTTCGCCATCAGTTTTCTGTTCGTTGGTGCAAAAGATCGCCTACCTCGGTGTTCTTGAGAAGCCGCCATTATCCCACCTCAAATTTGAAAAATAGAAGTGAAGAAATAATAACCATCGTACAAGGTGGAAAATTGTTCTGGAGGACTCGTTACGGATAAAGAAGTCAAAATCAGAGCTCGATTGATTGATTTAATTCATGGATACGCAAATATTGCCTTAGCTCAACTGCCGCGATCGGCATGCGTGCTGGGATGAACCTCGAGACGCATTAAAACAGTGCGAACCATGGCTCCTACACGCCAATGCGCTAAAAGCAACGTTCAAAGCGTCAAGGTCTCTTGAGATAAGTCCCGCCCGTTGCCCGAGTCTTTTAAATGCTATTTTTACTCTCCCTCTCGTGGAACCGTTATAGCCTAGTTGACTAAACCGCCTCATATTTTTGACTTGATGCGGGCAATAGGCGATCGGGAGTTCGATACCCGACGATGTGTGTTACTTTTTAATGGTTGTATTGAATGTTTTAGACTAAGCATCAACAAATAATTAATACTAGATGATAAATGTACGAACATTTTCTCGTGAGTTAATATGTTAAACAAAAATACTGGAATATACCTCCTTCATATAATCAGCCACATGTTCACACAAATTAATGACGTTATTTTCTTTTTTCAATAAAGTTAATTTGCATTCAACGTTCGTAAGTTAAGCAAAAAGTACCTATTGATACAAATAGAAAGACATGAAAATAGTATGTCTGACATTTCAGTTGTTTTTTTTTTTTTATTTATTTTTTGTTTTTTTGTTTTTTCAATAAAACAAATTGACTGGGACTAGAATCATCGTATCTCTGAAGACAAAAGCTAAGTTTTTTGATACAGAAATACTAATATATTCATCCTTTATATAATCAGGGAGATGTTGACCCAAATATTGATGTATATTTTCTCTGTTCGCCCAAATTAATGATGGTATTTTCTTTTTTCAATAAAATTAATTTACATTCCACGTTCTTAAAGCAATATTTTCTCCAAAATTCAGCAAAAAATAACAATTTATACCTACGCAAAAAGTAAATAAATAAATAAAGCAATGACATGAAAGTAGTATAGGTAGTACACATCTAACATTTCGGTTACATCTATTTGAATGAAAAAAATGGCAACTTAGGAAGCACATAGGTCACTTATCGACGGTGAAACTACCAAACCACGTATCTCGGTTTGCGACGTCGCAGACTTCCTGTCATACTTTATTTTTTAAATGAAAAGCTACTTAACGTCCAGTCTTGAAAATTTCCGTGATTTTTCCTCTTCGTGCGGAGAAAATTCTGTGAAAATTTCAAGGAATGATATTGATTTGGTCTACTTCAAAAAAATAAAATGTGAGCGGAGATTTTTAAACACCGCAAACGAGATACGTGGTTTGGTAGTTTCACCGTCGTTATGATGCGTATTCGGGCATATGCGTAGAGTAAAAATATCATACTTTACGCCGAAAAAACGAAACTGAAAGTTAAATGCGTTAACTTCCAAAAACCATACATATAATCCAACGAAAATAAATAATTGGTAAATAACAGCTTTCTTTTATGCAAAGAAAAAAAATTAAAAATGTTAAAAAAGAGATGTCGACACAAAATTACATATCCCCTTCAATTCTGAAGATACTACAAACGTACTGTACCTTAAAATTTTCATACCCCAGAAGCAAAAGTTCCCATGACGAATATTGCTATCGCTAGCGATTGCAAAAACCAACTTGTTTGATATTACACCTCATTTTTGCTGGTTCATATTTTCGGTAGGGTATCCCTGGTAAAAATTGGAGATAGGAGCTGCGATTCAAAATACCATAGGAGTTCTTATAGCCGACTGAAGAAGGCTATTGAAAATCATATAGCTGGCTGTAGGAAGCGGAGCAAATCATATAGACGGGCTATACGAAGCTATAAAAAAGTGTACAGTCGGGCTATAGTTCCTATCGCCGGGCTTTACACTTTATCGCCATTGGCTATAAAAGGCTATACGAAATTGTGTTATAGAAATGCGTGTGCTTTGGAAATCATTAAGTTTGACACGGAACTACCTTAATATTTACAAAACACACATTATATTTTCCTTTAAAACATATTTTTTTTTCATCAATTAAAATGAGAATAGTCCATACAGAGTGTGCAAACATTTCAAAATCATGAGTTGAAAAACGCTGACTCCGCGAGATTATATATTAGAGCCTAACACAAAACGGAGCGGCGACGCACTGGCGCCTACAAACCTAACAGGGATACTTCACACATTGCGCAATGCGTGAAGTATCCCTGTTAGGTTTGTAGGCGCCAATGCGCGTTTCGCCCTCTCTGCCCGCCCGCCGCCGCACCGCGCCGCAGCTTGCCACGGCGTCTGAAGCAACTATTTCACACCGGAGGTATTGCACAGTATCATAAGAAATTGAAGGCGCTCCAACGTATTAAGAATGACTGGCATCCTTCAAAAGTACGGAGCTTTCCTCGCAAAATAAATCAAGATACTACGGCACAAAAAGAGAGCGGTAGTCCAAAAACTCACTACGTCCTAGTATCCGTAATTAGGAACGTTTAGCATAAACTTTATCGTCTGGCTGTTTCTTAATCGCCATCGGCTATAAAAGGCTCTAAGAAATTGTACAGCCGGCTACAGAAGCTATTGGAAATCTTACAGCCGGCTTTAGGTCTATAGTATTTTGGAACACACATTCTACTGCCAATTTTTACCAGGGATGTGCCTCGTTTTATCTAATTGGCTTACACATTTGCGGACCCAGCAAATTGGCAACATTGTCTTTTCTCAATTTAAACCTATGGAAATGTATCGATTCTTGGAGGGGCCAGGTGCTCCGACAAGAATCGATTGTTCAGCATAGGTTTAAATTGATGAAATCCGGTGCTGCCAAATTGCTAGATCCGCCTCTGATGCTTCGCACGTTCCTAACCATTCAAACTGAGTGACAGCTGGTTTTTACCGCGTCAAAAGTGAAGGTGTGGAGCCCAGCACACATTGATTTTGTTTGAATTCGGTTCGCGAGATTAATTCACCGCTCAACTGCTGAAGAGAACATATTTGAAGCGTGGCCCTCCAACGTTTCAAAGAAGAATAATCGGTCCAGCAAGATTATGTTAATTTTTAAATTTTTTGAATTAGCTCATTCTACAGCAATATCATTTTTTTCGACTTTTCTCTATTCGGTTTTCTGTGTTATGGCTCCGCTTTTAATTACATAGGTTGATAAAAAATTGTCTCTAGACTAAATTTTTACTTAAATACCAATTCACGCGGAAAAAAATTGGATGTTGATTTAGCATTTGCACTGTCAAAAAAATGTGCGACAAGTATCAGATGCTGATTTTACATTTGAACAAATTCTAACTCAACATGTAATTTGTTCATATAACAGTGGACGTAGTAAACATAACATTTTTTTATTGTACATTCAGCATTTATACTTGTCGGACATTTTTTCAACAACATAAATGCTAAAGCAACATTCAATTTTTTCCCGTGCATGCAGTTGTGCTTATTTTAACTTAAATTATGGAAACTTAGATTTCATTCTCTGAGAAAACCGATATATTTCAAAAATGACTCTTCTACTTTCCGATTTTTTGCCAATCCCAGCTCGGAATTCATGCTTTGAAGAGTAAAGCATTTCATTTTGCGCATCGAATGGTTGAGGATTTAAAAACATAAAATGAAGGGAGCTTATCATAGGGAAAATTTAATATTTTTAAATTATAATGTCTCCAAGAGAGTAAATTGAACTGAGACATTGCTACTTGTTCGAAAAAATGATACCTTTTCTTAGATAAATTAATTTTCCCATTCCCATTCCCACCTATAATATTCCCACCTATAATAGTTACCCGACCTATGTTGCCAATTCTTTCGTTCACGATGACTACCGTTAGATTTACGTTAGATGATTCAAATTTTGTAATTTTGTCCATTTTAGTCTGATTAAGAACTGAATAGATTTTCGGTTAAATCGCATTTACCGATTACTTATACACAGTAATTAACGTAAGTGCCTTACATACGCTGTTTTCCATTAATCTGTTTTTATGAATGTTCCATTCCTTGGTTTCCTTGGTAACCTTTGTTTGCTATCAGCTGATGTTGGATCTCAAATTCTTTATTTCATTTTTTTTTGTTTGTTTTTTTTTGTTTTTTTTTTGTTAATAAATCATTGCTAAGTTAGTTTTAATTTTTTGCCAGCATTTATTACATTTCCTTAGATAAATTCATTTTTGCATGATACGAACCGGAATAACTTAAAATTTTAATATTCTCATTTTCATTGTACAGAAAAGGGGATGGAAGATACAGACATCAGCATCAATAAACAAGAGCCGATCACCATTGGGGCCATTGTGAATCCGAGCCTTTTATGGGCCTGCTACCCACCAGGAGTAAATAAGAAATCCACTTATTTAAAACATCAAATTGATGAGGAACTTAATGAATACCTTTCTTCGCGGGTGAATCGGATACCTGTTCCTCCAGAAAATCTTGAAAAACATGCAGTAAGTATCTATGCTTAAGCGGCAGTCATTTATCACGTCACATGCCAAGGGTCTAAAAGTGCCTGCTGAAGAGACCTGACTAAGCTGATAATGTCAGCTGATCAGTAGCTCAATAATTAGACACACAATTGGACTTCATTTTGCAATTAGGAACTATTAATTCTAGCCCGGTTTAAAAACAACGTATTTGCTATTAGTTTCCCCATGCACATAAGTTCCTCCAGAAAATCTTGAAAAACATGCTGTAAGTATCTACGCTTAAGCGGCAGTCATTTATCACGTCACATGCCACGGGTCTATAAAAGTGCCTGCTGAAGAGACCTAACTAAGCTGATAATGTCAGCTGATCAGTAGCTCAAAAATTAGAGACACAATTGGACTACTTACATTTTGCAATTTGGAACTATAAATTCTAGCCCGGTTTAAAAACAACGTATGTGCCATCAGTTTCCCTATGCACATAAGTGTTTTTCCAGAGGAGCCAAAATTCATAATTCCAAATATTGTAAAGAAGTAAATCCACTGTTACTATCTACGTATATCTAGATAAATTATATCGATTAAAAATATATCAATAAAACAAATTATAAATAAGTAAATCCACCACGTTACCACGTGGCGGGATCTCGTAAGGAACGAAAGAGTGCGTGAGATCAAGAACGCCGAGCAGAACATCGTGCACGAAATTATGACCAAACAGCTTGTCTGGTATGGACATGTTCAACGAATGGCGGATGATGGGTTGCCTTAGAAGGTACTAGATTGGGTTCCTCCTGGGACAAGACGTAGGGGACATCCAGCAAAATCGTGGAAAGGTGGCATTCTGGATGAAAGCACAAGATGCCATTTACTAGAATGACCTTTGGATCGATAGGCAAGGATGGCGATTTGGTGTCGCAGAGGGCCCGAGCGCGCTGTAAAGCGACTCGAATGTATGTATCTAAAAAATCTAAACATTTTAAGGCAAAATGTGCATGCATGTTGTCAAAAATATATGTTTTATCAAGGAAGGTAACTCTGGATTGCTTATACGGTGTTCTTCCTTAGCACGACAGGGAAGTCCATCTCTGTTTCCTCGAAAACCACCCGGATCTTATATTTCATCGGCCATACTTCACACGCTTGGCACCATACTCAGTACACAAAGGTTACCTCACTTAGCGTACTGGGGAAGTATTTCTACTAATTTTGAGAGATTTTTTCTCCAATGAAAATTTTACCGATTTCTTTCATGTTTCCTTTTCAGCGCGTTTCTGTGCGATACAATAACTTGTGGTTCAGAGGAGTTGTAATGGGCAGAAAGTTAGATGGGCGGAAAGAATTATTCTCGGTGCTGCTGGTTGACGTGGGTGTTGAAATCAACGACTTGACCGATGACATGATTTTTGAACTTCCCAAAAAGATCCAAGAATACGAAGTTCAAGCATTTTTAATAACTCTACACGGTATTGTGCCTCTGTCAGTGGAAGTCGACATTAGCGCTGGAAAAACTGTTTTGGAGTAAGATCATTAGCATCTGTAATTTTATTATTCTCAAGTTGCTTGATTTAAATACACATTTCTTTTTCGTCAATTTAAATGAGAATAATCCATGCAGAGTATGTGTAAACATTTAAAAATCATGAGTTGAAAAACGCAGACTCCGCGAGTTTAAATAGAGCCTAAGACAGAGCGGAGCGGCGTGCTGTCGGCGTGAACCGGGCACTGGCGCCTACAAACCTAAGGGGATACTTCAAGCATTGCGCAATGCGTAAAGTATCCCTTAGGTTTGTAGGGGCCAGTGCACTGGCTGGCCAACCGCGTGCCACAGCGCATCAAGCAACTATTTCACCACAGGTGTGTTGCACAGTATCATACGAAATTGAAGGCGCTCCAACTTATCAAGAATGACAGGCGTCTTTTAAGAGTATGGAGCTTCCCTCTTAAAATAAATCAAGATACTACGGCACAAAAAGTGAGCGGTAGTCCAAAAACTCTCTAAGCCCTAGCATGTCTATTTCATAACGTTTAGCATAATTTTTGAATTTCATTGGAAGAAAAGGTGACTCGATTTAGGCAGATACATTCTTGAGAATGCCGTCAAGAAGATTTTATTTTGAATCCAGAAAAAATTTTCTGAATTAAAGCGGATTTCTGCTTGAATCAGTTCTTTTTGTCCTGTGATGAAATTCAAAAATCATGCTAAACGTTTTTGAATACATGCTTTTGAAAGATGCAATCAATTATGAAAGGTTGGGGTGCCTTCAATCTCGTATGATACTGTCCAACACTGCTTAATGTAAGTGACTTTTCTTCTTTTATAAGCATATATTCCTCTTTAAGCCATCATTAATTTATGTATTGATTCATAAAGAAATCTTCTCGGAGGGAAATTTTAAGCATATTCCTGCTTGAATCATTGAATTGTTGATTTATGTTACATTTTTCAGGACTTCACGGAGCTGGGGCCCGTATCAGCATAATGTGTTTCGAAATATTTTAGAAAACCACGATGCAGCTTATTTTAAAACGACAATTGTTAAAGAAAATGTGAGACACGGTGTTCTTTACATTACCAAAGGCAAAGAAAAAATTAACTTAAACCAGATTCTGGTCAACTCAAAACTTGCTCACGACCTGAGCTGTGAAATTGATGTTACCAAGTATTTAAGACGAAAAAGTAGCTACCATCGATTTGTACTGAGTATTCTTAAACGTGAAAACCAGAGGAAAATACCCGCATACTCTTCAAGTGGTGCAGAAGGTATAGAATCAGCGAACATCTCTAGGTCAACTTCAAGAGTGGACCAGGTTCAAACGGTTGAAAAAAGTGAAGGCTTTGCCATCCCTCAAGATGATCGTAAAAGTAATCACCCCGGTTATCATGATGACTTTATAGAACGCTCGCCTGGAAGTAGAGGACAAACTTGTATCTACCCTGCTGGTTTTCAACTCCCAAATAGGAAGAAAAGCCAGGTTCAAGCGGTTGAAACAAGTGAAGACTATGCCATCCCTAAAGATGATTGTAAAAATAATCAGGCTCGTTATCGTGATGACTTTATAGAACGTTCACCTGAGAGTAGAAGAAAAACTTGTATCTACTCTACTGGTTTTCAACTTCCAAATAAGAAGAAAAGCCAGGTTCAAGCGGTTGAGACAGGTGAAGACTATGCCATCCCTAAAGATGATTGTAAACATAATCACGCTCGTTATCATGATGGCTTTATAGAACGCTCGCCTGAAAATAGAAGAAAAACTTGTATCTATCCTGCCGGTTTTCAACCTCCAAATAAGAAGAAAAGCGACCATCAATTGGTAGGTAAAGAATCAACTTTAAAAACTTCGCTGTCTAAATTAACTTCAAGAGTAGGACAGGCTCAGACGGTCGATAGAAGTGAGGAAAATACCGCCTCCATAGATGATAGTAAGAATAATGATACTAATTATTTTCATAACTTCAGAGAAAATTCGCCAGAAGGTAGAGCCAGAACTTGTATCTACCCTGCCGGCTCTCAACATAAAAATAAGAAGGAAAATATCCGACAGGTTCATGGGTATGGAGCCTTGATTCAGAACACCAACAGTTCAAACGTCAGAATCGAAAAAACCACCGGGCTGAAACTTGTTGTGAAATCTTCAAATAACGATTTAAAATCAGCCGACTCTGTACAAATTTCTTTTGAACAGAACGACGAAAAAACCTCAACGGATGAAAGCATGAATTCGTCGCTATCAAGCAAAAATGAAGTTAACTTATCAGGAGATGAAACTGTGATTTCTTTATCAGAGACTGATAATAAACCAAGAGGGAGGCTTTGGAATAATATCATGGCTCCTCGTAATCAATCTAACGATGATAAGGATGCGAGTAGCGGTGAAGAATGTGATATTGAGCTTCCTCCAAGGAGGTCCAAGGCCACTTTCAAGGAGCCTGAACAAAAATCAAAAATACTATTAATGTTTAACAAGAGCCTCGAGACAAGTTCATCAGTGGATTGTTCAACTGATCCTGTTGCTCGTGCGTGCTTTAAAGGTGCTGAAGATTGTGTTACGGAGAGAAATGCATCTGGACACACACATCTGTCAAAAAACACAGTACCCGACTCATCTTTTTCTGAGCGTGTGAGGTTAGCAGCTTCAACGTTGAGGACGATTACGACACCTGCCGAAGTCTCGATGCTCACCTCTCTCCACAGTTTTTCAAATGCAAAAAATGTATCAAGAAATATCCATGCACTTACGCAGAATGTCTTTGATGTCTCGAACCCGTCAAAGGGAGAAAAGACAAAATAGTAAATAAGTAAATAGTAAATAGGAATAACAAATTGAATGGACCACTAGACAAGGTACGAATTTCAGCATTCTGATACATGTTTCCGAACCAAAATTTTACGTAGAACACGATACGCACAACGAAAATTATCGATATTGACTCCTTACGAAGATATTGAATGATTATTGATGCGTGAATTGAAACCACCCGCTCATGAAAACTCAATGCTCTACGTGATTCACATCGCGCGCTAAACGTTATCATTAATTACATAAACGTCTCAGCGATATAAAAATCTGGCAACCTCAGTCTTGACGCTTTGGCTCAGCTATGGCAAATTGCTTATAGTTTGAACAACACATGGTGGGAAATGAACATTGCTCGATTGAGAAGCTTGCTGAAACCATTGTAGTGCGCGATTTGACTCACGTAGAGCTTTGAGTTTCTTGTGAGCGGGCAGTTCAAATTCCTCGTGACTGATGTGAAATAAATTAATATCTTCGCTAAGAGTTGGTTTCAGTAACTTTTGTTGCGCGAATCGTGTTTTACGTGAAATTTTGGTTCAGAAGCATGTATTAGAATACTAAAATTCGTACCCTGTCTAGTGGTCCATTGCTGATTTAACAATTAAATTGTTACAGAATATGTCCGACATGTCTCTAATGGACGTATTTATGCTAAAAGGAAATATACGAAAGTAGAAACAAGGGGTGCATGCTTGTGGAAGCTGGATAAGAAACAATGTCAAAGTGGATAAAGTTCCTTTTGAGAAAATGGAAAAGCGGGATTTGACATTAAATCAAAAGGAGCTGAGCGCTAACTTGTGAGCCGTGGGCTGTGACAATAGCCTTGTGCACAGGCCTCATGAGTTGAAGAGTCCCGCCACCGACCTCCCCGTCGTACGACCCGGGCTCGATCGTTGCCGGTGACGTCACTGGCGCCTTTAAATTCCCATTCATTGTTATGGCCCGACCACTAACGAGCACACTCCATCTTTCCACTTGCACATTCCATTTAGCATAAATACGTCCAAATGTACAATGGACCACTAGACAAGGTACGAATTTAAGCGATCGGATACATGTTTCTTAACCAGAACTTCACGTAGAACACGATTCACATAACGAAAATTACTGAAACCAACTCCCAAAAAAGATCTCAACGTTTTTATTTCACATTGGTTACGAGGAATTTGAACTGTCCGCTGATAAGAAACTCAAAGCTCTACGTGAGTCAAATCGCGCACTGCAACGGTTTCAGCAAGCTTCTCAAACGAGCAATGTTCATTTCCCGCCATGTGTTGCTCAAATTATAAGCAATTTGATATAGCTGAGCCAAAGTGTCAAGATTGAGGTTGCCAGATTTTTATATAGCAGAGACTGTCATGATAACGTTTAGCGCACGATTTGAATCACGTAGAGAATTGAGTTTTCATGAGCGGGTGGTTTGAATTCACGAATCAAGAATCATTAAATATCTTCGTAAGAAGTTGTTTTCGGTAATTTTCGTTGTGCGCATCGTGTTCTACGTGAAATTTTAGTTACGAAACATGTATCAGAGTGCTAAAATTCGTACCTTGTCTACTGGTCCATTTACAATAGTGGAAAGCTAATTTAACAACTAGCATTAAATTAGCATTTTTGATTGTAAAATCTACATTAAAACACACCCGACACTTTTTTTAAACACAAATTTGTTAAATCAGCAGTGTCATTTTTTTTAGATATAATTCAATGCTGCAACCTCGAGATGGAGGTGCGTTTCTTCCAGTGGCGTGGCGTGAACTGCGATATATTGATTATTATGCCATTTCAACACATGGTAAAGAATCGATTATTAAGGTGTTCGCTGCGAGCACCCTATTTATCGATCCTTTTCCATAGGTTTAAGTGGGATAGCAATCGATATATCGTAATTCACGCCACGCCACTGGTTCCTTCGTCAAAGAAACGACGGGTTACGCACGGGGTAAACGCTATCAAAGAGCAAGTGATCCTGACGTCTCTTCCAAGCTATCAAGCTTCGAAAATTATGAGCTTTGATCGGCATCGGGCAGCTCTGTAAAATTAATTTCTCCCCTAATTTATTTCCAATTAAAAAGAGCGTCAAACCGGTAGTTTCGCTCCGTGCAGCCCTGCCCGTCTAATGGTTATTCACCATGCGAACAGGGTCGGGTTCCATTTTGCTAGCCTCCCTTCTGCCTCCTGTTATCGCCTGGAAACGAGGAGGTGACCTGTGAGTTTCGCCACTGGTCAAGGAGATTTCATTGTAGATCTGAATAAGCGTAATGAGTCAGTGCATGCAGCTCTTGCGTTTGTGCGGGATTTGGGGTTAGAGTACTTTTTCTGGCGTAAAATGCGGGATTGAACATGTCACTTCAGGTTATACATACAAGAATTTTTTACATCAACTACCTTTAATTTAAAAAGGTATCAAAATGAGTTTGGAGATTAAGAATTTCTACAGTAAAGTTTTTGGTTGTTAAGTAAAAACGGGCTATACAGTTTAAGTAACTGTTCATGAAAATTACTGGGAAGAAACCGAAGGGCAAAACCTAGTTTGGTTGATGAGAGGTGGGATGAAAAATTAAAAAAACCGGGCTGCTGAAACGAAGCAAAATAACAAAAGGAAAGATTAAATAAAAATAGAAATTGAAATAAAAAGAAATAAACATTCAGAAAAAATTAGTAAAATTAGTTAACAAGGGAAAACGAAGTCAACAGTGTGGTAGTATCCAGCACTCCATTTTAAGTATGGAGGAGCGAGGCTAGATATACTCTCACCTGTGCTTGTAAGGATATGGTGAAATACGTGTCAAATCAGATCATCAAATCTGTTTGTGGAGAGGATTGCAAAATTACTTGAGCCTCTTGATGAGGTAAAAGTTTAAAGAGTACGGACATCAATTTTTCAATCTGTTCCGCTTGTTTTGTGACTAATTGTTTGAGGTCATTAATTACTGTGACAATTTCCTTGTTATCAATTTCCATGAGTTTTGCGGTTTGCTGTGGGTTAGTAGTTTTATTTTCAGAGCCAGCTCCTTTTTTTAAAGCAGCGACGTACAGTAGACTCTGGATTATCCGGATTAATTGATGCCGGGCCCGATCCGGATGAAAAAAATCCGGATTATAATAGTAAACACGAACACCACCAACCAACACCACAGTATTCTTATTGTGTATACATCATGTACATACCAACACGAATTTAAATGGTTAACGCCAAATTAAACGACTCAATGGTGATTGTGAATGGTAGCCGACGACGATAAATTACAATACAACGATTAAAGCGCGCAATGCGTGAAGTATTCATACATTCTTGTAGCCGTTAATGTGCGTTTTAGGCTAACCAACCGACTGCACTGCGTTTAGCGTAATGCGAGAAGTATTTATGCAGTCTAGTAGGCGCTAATGCGTTCCACGCCGACCTCACTGTTTGGCGCAATGCGTGAAGTATTCCTTCAGCCTTGCAGGCGCCAATATGCCTTGCGACCTCTTCTCCGCGGATCCGCTCACTTATCGGAATGCGTACGTAGTAATAAAGTGTCGTCGGCGTATGCTTGTTTTAAAATTTCTGGAGTGGTGTGTAAATTTAATATTTCATCGAAGATCATAATCCATATGGTTGGTGAAAGACAGCCTCCCTGAGCGGCTCCAGAGTTAATTAGCACTTTGAAAGTTGGGAAGACTATGTATCTATCTGTTAAATATGATTTGAGGATTTCTATCAGATATTGTGGAATCTTCCTTTTGATCATTGTCTTTATTACGTCGTCCCAACTAACACTATTGAATGCATTTTTGATATCTACGTTGAGTAATAATAGGAGTCTTTTTTGTGTTGCGGTGTTTTGAATGTGGTGGTTATAGATGTCTTTTAAGTTTTGCATGGCGTCTGTTGTGTTACGGCCTCTCCTAAAACCAAATTGAGCGCTTGAAGGGGTGAAAGAGTCGATTAGTCTTTGGTTAAGAATGAATTCGAAGATTTTTGCTATAGAGTTAATCATACAGATTGGTCGATATGTCTTTTGGTTGGATTTTTGTTTACTTGTTTTCGGAATCAGGGCTAATTTAGCGGTCTTCCATTCACATGGAAAAATACATTGTTGAAGCATTGAATTCATCATGTCTTTGAACGCTTGGAAGTTTGTGTTTATGAACAGCTTAGCGAGAACTGGGATGATGTTATCGGGTCCAGGTGCCTTATAGTTTTTCTGTTTCCTGATGGCTCTCAGTAGTTCTTCGTTAGTGATCTGTGGGATTTCTTCTGGTGGAACTGGGGTTTTTTTCCATGTTATATAGCCGTAATTTGGGAAAAGAGTATCTATTGTTGTAAGTAGTTCTTCTTTGGTTAGAGAGTTTGTATCATGATTTGCTGGTCTTTTTAATTTGTTTTTGAAAATTTTATAGGCTCGTCCCCATACATCTCTGTCTAGATCCTTTATAATTTCATTCCAAGATTCCTTTTTTGAGTCTCGCGGATGTTACATCAAAGCTGAAGTGTTCATACCAACATTGGAGCGATGTTGTTTTCAACATCATGGATGTTATGTCAATTTAGCAATTTTTCTCTGTTCTTTGTCAAAAATTGTAATTGATTAGACCGGTTACCTTACCTTCAATGGTGATGCAGCTTGTAACAGGCGACAGAAGAAAAACTACGCCGCACATCCAGACACTGTTGGGAACCCAGCCAACCTCATTGCGACGAAGAAGTTTCTTGAAAACGATCCTTATAAAGTTCGAGAAAGTGTTGCCAAACGCCGCAGACTGCAGACAAAAATGAGTTGTGCGCCTCTGCAATACCGTTTTAGTTTAAGACTTTTTAAATAATGTTAGCCAAACCACTCGTTTAAGTTTTTACGCCTCTCGTTTAAATTGCTAAAATGTGTATCATAAATTTTTTTTTAAAAAAAAACTCTATTATCAATAGTTTTTGATATCCAGAAATTTATTTCATTCCTTCCGTCTCTTCTCGATTCTCTATTGCACTGAAGCTGGAGGTCATTGGGACAATATTTTGCAATTAGGAACCTGATTGTTTCATGTTTCTGGCTCACGCATGAAACAACATACGTACTATTTCTTTTTCTGTGCAGTTAGGTGTTATATAGGAATA